GGCAGACAGCCTGCATCTTAGCAGCCTAAGCCACTGCCACCTCGATAGCCTGAGAAAAGGGAAACACGGGACAGACCAACGAGGAAGACAGGATTTAACCCATCCTTTTGTGGGCTTGGCTTCTAAAACCCTTGTACCAATGGCTTTTGTCACTCTGTCCTCAAGCTTCTCTTCTGTGAAGGGGGGATAATAGCACTTACATGTACACTGCGAAGTAGTGGCTGCAGATGATGAAATACTGAGATACTGGGGTAATGAAGGCAACATAAACATCCTAAACAAATCATAAAAGGTTTTTTCAAAAACTGTTGCAGCCAAGTTATGAAAAACAAGGTGGAAAGATTAAAATAAAAGACTCCTAGCGTCTCGCACATCAGTGAATGGACAAAGAGGATTCTGGACAGATGGGTGACTGCACAGAAGAAGAGATGTTTGTTACAAATGCAGTCCTTGCACACTGAATTTATATCCTGACAATATTTTTTTATGTATACTTTCTACTAAAGAAATCTCCAGAAGGTGGAAATCAAAGCAGACTGTTGTCTTTTCTGTCACTGTCATTGCTGAATAGGCTCCTTAAAAACAGAACAACTCATCTTCATCCTCCATCAAACTAATGAAAAGACTTAATAGCAACCACATACCCGGACGCATTACAAAGAAAAGAGAAGACAGTAAGGCTGACAAAAGCTTGAACCTCTCTAAAATACAAGAATAACTAAGAATTGACTAAATAGTCATTGTTTCATGATTACATTTACTTTACAACCATCCTAATCAAATCTGAGATTTTAATCTCAGCTTTCTATCTTCCGGCAGTCCATAAACCAAAGAATTTTATTATCTAGAAACGTCAACACATCAAAGTTTAACTGAAATTCAGATTTGGCGATGGTAGCACCTCGTCAGAAAGGTTCTTTTGTTTGGTGTTTTTTTTTAGGTTGGAAGAAATAAAATAATTAATGCTTCTTTGGATTATTACATACAAAGGTCTTAGGGCTAATTATGAAAGCTGCATATTTTATAGAAAAACTCTGGCATCAGAGTTTTTTTTCATGGATATCCCAACCCAAATTCTAAGGCTGCTTTATAACGCATCTGGAAATAACAGATGTCAGAGTTTACTACAGACATGCAAACGTAGCAAAACGTAGAATAAGGACACTCCGTAGGTTCAAATAACCTCTTGCTCTTCCCAGCTCATAAGCAGCAGGCATGCCCATGGGTAGCAGCCATTGGTAACATGCCTTGGAAGGATCAGACGTCCATCCCACGTTGCTTCCAGCCATGTCTTTACATATGAGAGTTAACACACACCTAGTCCAGTGCTAAGCTTCGAGTTACTGATGAGGATGTCATACTTCTAGTGTCCTCTCCACTGCTTGGGTGGCAGTAGCACTTTAAGTAGCACCAGCTTGCAGAAATGGAGACCGCAGGCACTACTTGGCTGCCGGAGCAGAGCTGGAACCCAAACCACGCTTCCCACTGAGCAAACAGCAGTAAAAAATCAGCAGATGTCCATAAAAGTGAGATGCACAGTCTTGCGCTAAGCTTCAGTTTGCCTCAGAAAGTCTGCAAG